GGGGGGGAGCCGGGCGCCCTGGCAACTTTAGTCAGAAACGCGAGCCACAGAAACGCAGAAATGTCTCCTTCCCCAGTCGGGGTGGGAGGGACGGCGAAGGCTGATACCAATGCACGGGGCCCGGGCCAAGGCGGGGCTTCTGGTCGAGGAATCGTTGGCATGGATTCGTCTCGTCATCGAAGCGTTCAGCAGGCTCGGACGGGGGACGGGGGGGGGCGGGGGACGGGGGAGACGGGGGAGACTGGGGAGACGGGGAGACGGGAGGGGAGAGGGGGGAAGAGATGGAGGGGGGGGGGGCGGCTGGCAACATTGAGAGGCAAGCGCGGGAGGCTGAGGGCGACGGGCAAAGGGATGCTGTGAAAGAAAGGGAGGAGAGGAGGCCCGGGGGACAATCGCAAACCGGGGCCCTGGCGAGATCTTGGCCCAGTCATCAAGCGTGGGCGGCCACAAGCACACCCGGGTGACAGTCCGCGTTGGGCCGAGAGAATGAAACATAATGGTGGGTGAAGTGGTGATCCAGGCCCTCCAAAGCCGGGATCAAGCAACATGAAAGCCAGTCCAGGGCGAGGGCGGGGCCCGAAGACCACGGCCGAGCGAAGGAGAGACAGAGAGAGGCACCCAGCAGCACGTAGGACCCATGTGGGGGCCAACCGGAGGCCACACAGGCGGTTGAGCGCGAGTGGCCAGCAGGACAGCGCGCGCAGAGATAATCCAGAGATAAGCCCCACACGAAGCAAGGCAGGCCCGGGGGGGGGGGGGGGGATACGGGACCCATTTGTGCGCCCCTCCCCCGATGACCGGAGCGTCGGCAGGTTGCGCAGCCCCGCACCCCGACCCGGGCCCCAGCAGATGGCCGGATTGCTGGGCGCCCCCTACCCCCCTCCCCCCCCCGTCCGCCCGCCCGCCCGTCCTGGGACCTGTGCTTTCCAGGCCCTTCGCGCCCCTGCTGACCAACGGACAAAAGGGGTCGCGGGGCGCCCGCGCCACTCTTGCCTGGGCTTCCGGTCGCCAAAACTCCGCCTTCGAGACATCCCCCCTCGGGCCCCCGCTCGACGAACATATCCGCCAAGCCCGGGGACACCGCCGGGGGTGTCTGGTCGTGCTCCCCCCAGAGGTGGGAGTTGTGCACACCCACACCCACGCACAGGCATACGCACAGATGCCTCATATCCCCCCCCCCTCCCCCAGTGTGTCCTCTTGCGCCTCTGTCCGGACCACCATCTCTCCCTGCCCGCCCCCC